ATCCCGGCAAGGCCAAGAATATTCTATTCTCCGCGTTGTACAGACCGGCTCTGGGGCCCATCCAGCATCCTATCCAATGTGTAATAGGGGCTCTTTTCCCGAGGGCAAAACAGCCAAGGCGTGAAGGTGACCACTCACATCCAACTAGCGCCGAAGTCAAGAAAACGTATTTCTATACATCCACCCCCCCACCCCCCAATACGTCTTTATGGCGTAGTGCTTAATTAGTTAAGCACAGGGACAACTTTATCTTTTTCATTTTTACTCTATCCGCTCCAGGCAATTCGTCACTTACTTTTTGTAGTAACATGGCTGGCGGACTGAGGGCAGGCCACAACATACCGACAAGTTTTCAGGAACTCGCCTGCGGCCGAGACTAAAGACATCACATAATGAGGAGCTTCGCGAAGTATGCAAGTAGCATAGCATTAAGGAGGCTAATGTGGGAGAATAAGAGAAAGGGACGGAGAGAAGGGAGAAGGCGGAGGAGAGGCGGTGTGGAACACTGACGCGCTCTCCGGGTTCCCAGGAAGCACCCGCTAGTCTTTCTGACACGGTATCACACAAGAATACCGTATGTACAGAAGTGGAAAGATAGGAGGGTTACACAGCACGCGGTTGAGGCACTATGCTACAAGTCGGAAGGTCGTGGGTTCGATTCCGATGAGCTCACTGGATTTTTCTATTGACTTAATCCTTCCAGCCTCATTATGGCCCGGGGGGTCGACTCAGCCTCTAACAGAAATGGATACTAGGAATCTGCCTGGGGGTAAAGGGCGGCCGGCCGGGGTAATGCTGACAACCTCACCGCCATCTGTGAGCCGATTCTTTAGGAAACGTGGAAGCTTCGACGTCTCACAACCCTATGGGCCTCAGCGTTGCTACTGTTCGCCTCAATCAGTGACTACAGTCGTGGCACAACAGCGCCTACATAGACAGCAATACTGTCCCGCTATATATGAGTGCAGGAGAAGTTGCCGCGATACCCGGCGCTGTAAGTGTTTTATCTCCCGCATTCCGCCTTCTCGTGACGACGACACAGTAACAGCATACAGGGACGTGCGTGACCACACGACGATTCTGCAAACCTGCGCGTGCTAGGTCGCGCTCAAACGTCTGTCTATGGACTCAAAGGAATTCGATCTTCGCTCATTTCCAGCCTTCAAAGCTTTGCTAGCGCGGGTACCAACATCTTTCAAGACGATTCCCTCTGCAGCCAGTATCATGGCCACTCAGTGTCCTTACAACCGATACTAGAAACACCAAAAGAAATTAATATTCATAACAATTTCTGGAGCCCGTCACGGTAGCCGAGCGGTCTAAGGCATGCACTGTCTTCGCTCGCTTGGAAGCCGGGATCGTGGGTTCGAATCCCACTCAGGGCATGGATGTTTGTGTGCGTTTTTCTGTGTTTGTCTATAGGTAGAGGCCTTGCGACGAGCTGATCACCCGCCCAAGGAGTCCTACTGTATGTGTAAGATCTAGAAAAACCGAAGCGAACCGAGTTCATGGAGGTAGGCCTAGGCCCACTGGGGCTGTAGTACCAAGGAAAAAAAAACAATTTCTGGATGTCAACACAAGCCTGTTCAGTTACTGCAAATAACTGAATGATGAATAGTTTTATCTTCTGGACAAAAGGTAAGGTAAAGTTGTCTCTGTGCTTAACTAATTAAGCACTATGGCATGGAGGCGTACGGGGGAGTGAAGGCATATCTCCCCATTCTTGATCTGGGCATTAGACGGAGGTGAGAGGTAAGCTTCACGCCCCTGCCGCTTTACCCCCGAGCCGGTCTGGACGCTGTGGGAGTTCTGCTTATGATTACTTTATGCTGGTTTCTGGACTAGCTCATTCTTCGGCCCGGAATATGAAGGCGACATTTTCCTTCTGAAAGTCGGCTGTCAACCACACAGCATCACATCCCAGAAATCTTCGTGTCCACAGTTGTGAGAACGGCAGATCCTGCGTAACTGAGTGACAGTTAACAGAAATGGACCTCTTGGAGTGCCGCATCATAAAGCCGACCACTCACCCCAAGCCGGTATCGAACTTAGGAGCGGGTAAACTATTACTGCCTTCATGACGTGATGCTTACTCACGGTGACACGCACATATTATAATTATTATTATTATTGTGGCGTGCCAGAAAGCGGGGATGGCTGAGGAGATCAGAGTTGATTTCAAGGCAACGCCTTGGAATCCGAACGCTAGCAAACCTAAGCAACGAATTGTTCGAGGCAGTTGCATGACAACGGCTGCGATAAACATGCATACTTCAGTGAGAACGAAATACCAGCAGGGCGTTGCCTAGGAATCGTTTGAACAACAAATGCGTTTCCCCGGAGATGAAGGGACAAGAAGTCCGTTGCATAAAAGAGGGAGAAACCAAAGCCTCCTACATGGTGCGCTCTATTCAGTCCGAGTGCACGTCATAAGGGTCTATCTTCGAACGAGAACGGTGTTTTCTACTAGGTCCGTGCGAAGAGGTTATAAGAAAGATAACTGGGGAAACCGAATCAGTTCTGTATGGGAGTCTATGAGGAAAAGAGGGAGTTGCAAGGGAGCCACCGCTCAGAGAGGACTTGAGCGTGTGACCCTGAAGAATCTCCACTGCTGCAGGTCATTGCCAGAGAACGGCTGGTGGAGACACAGCAGGCTGGAGAATACTCAGCGAGTGCTGTGGTGATTTGTGAAATGTGGAGATTAGCGATGGCGCTATAGTTCCGAGTCGTGTGTAAAGGTGATCAATAAATCCAATATCCAATCCAAAACCCCGTCTACAGTCACTCTAACACGTGACAATATGTTCTCATTCAAGGCGCGGACAGGTACAATTTTATCATTTACATCATATTCTGTTTCGTTCTGAGATGTAAATACTGAGCTTTGGTATTTAAACGTATCTGTCCTTTCGAAGTTTTGTCCACTTAATTCAATATCTATGCTGGATACACCTGCAGTTTCTTTAGTTTTCATATACTGTACTTAGTTCTGTTTGCAGACACCGCACGTCTGGGCTCAATGCTGACTGATTTACATCATCAGGGTCTTTCTGAAAAGCTGAGAGTTCCTCAGCTGATAAAGAAACTTGGGAAGGTTCATTACCTGTCAGGGCTTTCACTCTTCGAGGTTTCCTGCCGAAATGTTGCGTTTCCCATGCTGCATGTCTCGTCATCTCACGCTCCTTGATTTTATCGCCGTAATAATATCTCGCGTAGCCACTCTGAGTCTCCGGCAACTTCCTAGTGTTGCTCTAACCGGCCGCTTGAGAGCGTTCTGTCCACGCAATGCTGACGTCACGTAGCTGTTTAGAAGCAATGAACCTATTGAGTTTTCGGTTCCCAGACGTTTTTTCTTCCTTTCCCGTTCAAACAAAAAGGGAACAAAAGGAATTAGAAGAAGAAAGTCGTGACAAATTGATTTCCCTCAAACTTCTTTCCCTCGTTAACGGCCGTTCTTTCACGGGATCGGCACCGGGGGGCGCGGGGCGCGGGTTCCAGTGACGTAATCCGATGAGAGGAGCAACACGCTTCTGCTGCCCCCATTGGGGCCCGAGTTACATCTCTCGTAAACGGCACATGAATATTCGAGGACAATATTCAACACCTTCCATGTTACACACGAGATATGTCGCTCAGAATCGTAGTTTATTATGTGTTTACCTTGGTCAGTGAGAGAAACCATTACAGCCCGTTAGACCCAAAGCTATCTATGGCTTTTTAACAATATGCTTTTCGTATACTACAAATTTTGCATTGAGAGCACGAATAGATTGTTACTGTACGAGTACAAGGAGAGCGACAGTTTTCAGCACAGTCATATAAAGCAGACGAGCCCAGCTCCCGTTCTGACAACACACTTCCCACTTCTCTGCACTATCCTCTTATCTGGACGGCGTCACTTCTCACAAAGTGTCCGCGTCACTTGCGTGCTACGTGCCCGACCGATAAACCTTTTCATTTTAATCTCTCTAATACTCCAGTCCAGTGTTTTCATTATGAATTCTAACAGGCCCACAACATCCATACATTCATGATGCATCAGAAGTTTACACATCGGTGACTATAAAGAGAACTACAGTCCAGGACGTGACGCGGGGTAGTCCGGCAGTTCACCGACGTTTCGGCGAGACGTATTCATCTATATTCAGAGTCATGGGTGTGGTAAAAGAGCAATGTGCTACAAGCAAGGAGCCAGTCACCCCGCTGCTCTGCTTGGTGCCTGCTTTTTGACCCTGAAGATGGAGGCAGCACCTTCTATACGGCGTCACATCCCAGAAGATAATACTGTTTACAGAAATGTTTCTCAAACTTCCGGCAACTGCGGTCCATTACATGGTCGCTCGGCGCAAGAGCGAGCCGCTCAGCTATACCAACATTCCCCTAAGCCATAAAAAAGCATGCAACTGCGCTTCTGTCTGCGAACAGGAGAAATATTACAAAGCTGCCATAAACCAGTTTTCTCTATAAACAATTTTAGTGCAAAATGTTTCAATAATGATTCATTACTTTTTAATTTAAATTGTTTTGTTTATTACATGTCACTACATAATACAGAAAACCCTCGCTTATCCGGAGCAACTGGGGTTAGGTCATCCGGATTAATGAAGCAAAATGTAGCCCTAAAAGACAAAAAATAGAACACAACTAAATGGACAATTTAATGATGCAAATAGTGCTGATGAATATAAATAACAAAATATCACCGAAGAGCCTTTATTTAAAAACAATAAAAAGACAATGCATTTATTCTTCGATAGAAGACTCAGAAGTTGTACATGTTTTTGAACGTAATCATGCAGGTTTGAAGACAGTGCCAAGTTTTGTCTGAACAGGCAAGTAACTCATCTGCCTTCCTAAATGCGATGTGACTTTTGAATTATGTACTCAAATGTGGACAGCATTTTCATATATTTACCAGGTCTAAGGATGGTTTACTGTACTACATAGCACTACGGACCATTTGGTGGGCCGCAGTTTGAGACACAGGCTCTGTCCCGTACCTGAGATTGGCACACGCAGGCGGACGCTCTCGGCGTTGCGAATCCTGTACAGGGAGAGGGCTACTACGTGCTGGCACCAGAAGATGTCCTTCGTGTCGCAGCTGCACGTCACCGACGTGATCTTGCACCTGGAAACAAGCAGTTCTCGAGTTAATTACAGTTATCCACTTGCAGAGCATCTACATACAGTAATTCAGTAATGAAAAGCACCACGTCCAGAAGGGATCTAGAGGCTCGAGAGTGCTACACACAAAAACGCGCTGATTTTCAGAGATACGTAAGCCTCTCTCGGCCGATAGGCTACATTCACACTGGACAACTGCGTCATAATTGCCTTGCTACGAATTTGTTTGTCTGCCACTCACAACGCTCTTTTCGACACGTGCAACTCATTCAGTACGAGGTGCTTCGCCTTTGAATTTCGGGTTCGAATACTTAGGCCATGCGAAACGGTGGAGGAGACGACGCTGGCGCGTTGACGTCTCGATAGCGCACATCCAGGTCAAGACAAAGTATAAAAGTGACTATCATGGCTTAATTAATGGCCGGATATGTATTTAGGTACAGGAGCATAAGATTTATAAACCGGTAAAAATTAAATTATTATAGTTAAAAGTCCAGTAATTACTTCCATGCATAATAGTGAAATTATTTAAAACGGTCACGAAGAAAATGTTGACACCCTACAGTTGCAGTTCATGACGTCGAGCCTCAAATGCAAGCTGTATTCATGAAGAGCCCAGCAGAGCCGCGGAGCGGGTAAGCAGGCTCATAGCGCGAGGTTTGAAAGGGCGCTAAGCAACCCGAGCTGCATTACTGGCTCCAACGCATTCCCTTCAGTACTTAACAGCGGCCTCCGGAATTCCAGCTGGTTGCCAAGCACCAAAACCGCATCCATTCTGACACGAACACACGTCCTCGGAATTAGGAAAGCAATTAAGATCTTCATGCAAGAAAGCTGTTATGATTATGATATTTTATATACGGCCATAATTACACACACCAGAGCCAGGTTGCCTGGCTTAGTTGCTATACCGACCAGGCTTACGGGCTGGACTCAGGAATCGGGGTTCCATTTCCGGCAATTGTCTACAACGGCTAAGTTACCCCAATCAGCCTACTACCCAATGGGTAAAGTAAAGCTACCCCTGTAACGTGCTGTGGGGGCCCATAAGGTTTTGAGACGTCGAGGCTCCCATATACTCTAGACAATCGGTTCATACATGGCTGTGAGGTAGTCAGTCTCACGTGCCGGCTGCTCTTTACGAAGACTGAGTTGGCCCCAGGGCCACAGCGCGGCTGGAAGGATTAGGTTAATAGAAACATTCAATCATCTCACTGGGAATCGAACCCGAGACCTTCCGTTTGTAGCACAGTGCCTCAACCAACTATGCTACCGCGTACCACCCTATCGAATGAATACAGTGAGCTATTTTGTTGGGAGTTGGCGTGAGGCGGACCACTCACCTGCATCTAGTGTCGAGGTAAAAAAAAAAAAAAAAANGGAGTTATACTCAAGCCCCGCTCTCCACAGAAAACGTTACACTAAAATTCAGGCCTACACTTCCAAGCACAGTGTTGCCGAGCTGACGTCAGCACTATAGCGTTCACAAGAGTTGCCTCTGGAAACATCACTGTCAAAAATGGAAGTTAATTCAAAACTCTTTCAGAAGTCCAGGTGTCACAGTAACAAAGTGATTTCTATTTCGGTAATTAGTTTTCGGAAATGGAGATTCTGTGTTAATATTTTTCAAATACTGCACAAATTGTTTTTCCATACGTGCGCTGTCCGATCTGCATTCTGGTGACAAGAACAGGCACCGTTAATCTGTGGGGGATCAGACACAATTCCAGATTATCACAGTTGCATAATTGGACAAATTGGTTTGTCCAACTGATATGTGTGTTCCTCTCCTTCTCCCTCGAAACAGCCATTCTGACCGTTACTCGGTCGAGTTGTAATGTCCGGGTAGGCAGTACAGATCCTGACCACGGCGCTTTAAAGCAGCTAATTGTTAAGGCGCGTCCACATTACTCGTGGTCGTGCTCATGCTCGCCAGGCTTTTGCTCGTCGGGAGACTTGTCTGGCTTTTACTTGTGCTCGTAAATCTTCGTCCACACTACTTCAGTTGCTCGCCAGGCTTCGGCGCGTGAGGATCCGTATATTTACTTGTAGTGTGTATAGGCTGTAGTCGTATTTTAATTTATTGGCTATAGTTTTTAAATTACAAATTTAAAATTTGCTCGTCTCGTGACTTGTCATATCGTCCACATTACTCGCGAGCATAGCGAGTCACACGAGCACGAGCACTAGTAATGTGGACGCGCCTTTATACGTACGTGTGGAGGCGAGTTAGATTACCTCCATCGTATATCTGACAGTCTTACAAGACGACGAAGAAGGAACCCGGTGCCTGGAAGTATAACTGGGCCCACCCTGTCACTGGGGACATAAATACAAAGACCTAGTCCTTCAGGTTTGGGAGTTCAATGCAAGGCTGACGACCTTTTACTGTAAGAAAAGAACACTGTTGCGAAATCCAACGAAGCGAAAAACTGGATGGTTGAATTCACGGCGGAATAGAGAACTCCAGTAGAATCTTCTCAGTAAGGCTGTCTTGCCACTATGATTACGTACTGTACGACTGAGCTCCTGACCGGTCGGGAACAGACTTGCGGCACTACCTGTAGCACCCGCCATCGATCCGCCGTCATAGAGCAAAGGAGCGGAAGGAAGTGGCAGACATTGACCCACAAGCACTTCGCTAATTATTATGTTTTATGAATGAGTTCCCCTCCCTCCCCCTCCCCCCTCCGCCTCATGCACATACATCTGCCCCAGACATGCGCCGACCGCCATCTTGCACGAAGAACTCGTGACGGTCATCACAGCGAACCGTCGAGCATGTAAGACATTACGCCTGAAGCACACTGCCTGCTACCAGCAGAGCAACCGTGTCGGAGAAGTTGCCGTTACTCCACGGGGCTAGAATGACTGGTTCCAGCTGAGGGACAAATGTGACCCACAAGCTCCTGCGTGTCTGGGTGATGTGACCCGCAGGTGCACCACACGGCACAGGCGATGTCGTGGATCAGCAGACAGCACTCTCACGGCAGAGCTCAAGGGACGTGCAACGTCACGCGCATCAGTCACGTGGGTCTGACTGACCCTGAGAGGAACACAGGCGATCATAATGATGATGAGAACGGAGAAAATGAGAAACTGGAGAAGAAGACGGCGATGGCTGCAGAGGTGGCGAGAAAGCGATCAAGATGGTCATGACAATGAGACAGGAAAATTAACAAAATAATTTAAGAAGAAAATAAACATTGTTACGAAGAGAAGTTCTGGGAAAAACGAAACGCCTAGCTTCTTTTGATACGACACGCATCGCATAGAAGGCGACTTGTCCAACGTTTCTTCTACTGTTGCGTGTATTCGTTGCTGCTGGAACGTGTTTACCAAGCCGTTACCTAGCAACGATAGGGGGATACACATACAGACTTGCAAAAAAAGACTCTGGCTGAGATCCTCAAGGGGCTTGGCCTAAAGACGACCTGATTGGCGGTAAACCGGCAGTCGTAAAGTGACTCTCTCTCTCTCTCTCTCTCAGTTGTTAAGTCACTTGAGTGTTGCAGCTGTGAGATGTGAGAAGTTGGCAGCTGAGGCCGGGAACAGTTCGGAAACCTAGAGGAAAGGGAACGTCCGCCACTGGAAGCCTCTACCAAGCAACGGCTAGTGCTGACAGAAGATTTTGTGTGCTGCAATAACAGTGATCTTTGGAGTGTGTAACTCTGTGAGACTGGCGTGATTATTTATAGTTGCGAGTGTAAGTTTCCAGTGAGTCCAGTTACCCCGTCTCTAAGTCAATCGATCGCGTGACTATATATATGTATACATGCACTGTATTTGACGGCGCACGTCTGTGCAAAACAAATACAGACTTCGGCTCTTCCAGTGGCCTGACGCCACAGCGCGCCGTCGAGCGGGGGGNGGGGGCAGAAACACCGCGGCACAACATCCGAAATGACGGCATCACGACACTTGTCAAGGTACGCGTCCCAGATAATTGCCGCAAGAGGCAACTAATGCTGCAGGGCTGTCCAAGCCGTCTCTATATTTCCTTATTCCTGGTTTATGTAATGAAGCTTTCAATGGCTCATACTATGCATCGTCGAGGAGAATGTACAGAGGTACAGTTCCCCATGCCATGAACATACATGTCGCAGTATAAGTATTACTCCAGGCATTCTATATTTTTAGCTCTAGATGGAGATGAGTGGACAGCTTCGCTCCCCGACCGCTTTAACCCCGGAGAAAGAGACCCGAAACTTTTTGCATAAGAGGGTTGGTCAACCCCACAATCGGTCTGGACGTGGAGAGGCGACAGATCTGTTAGTATAGGGGATCGAACTCCGATTCCCTGGTCGTCTAGCGAAGAGTACAGTGGTTTGGCTCCTAAATTACAGGATAATTACTGAATAACGACATGGAAAGGAAGTGAAAGCCTGAGGTCTTGATGTAAGTTCAGCTACTATAGCGGCATATGAAGTGACTGAAGTAACTCACGAATAATCTCTGGACAGTCAAGTCTCCGGGATATTTGAATTAGCGACCCCCGGTGTGCCGTCGTCATGGAGTTTGCAGTTACAAGATGCCAGGGACGCTTTACAATGCCCTCTGTCCCTCAGGAGCTTAATACCCGATGACATACTGACAGCCGCTGGACTCCCTGAAGGGCCCAACATTACTCAGAAAACGGCACCCCTGAACGGCATGCAAAAATGGGCAAGTGAAACGTGCTAATATATTTCGTGCTCATCCAAATGTTAAACATTATTTAAAGAAAGTCACGATTTCGCGGCAGAGGACAGTCATCACTGTCTGTGGCCGCTTGCTCTCCAGTGCTACCGTACTGTTCCAGGCTTCGGCATGTAGGTCACCTCTTTCGCAGAAGTAATACCATCTACTGATCAGTCACCATAAGAGAACATCCTTACGGCCACTGAGTCGCCTTAACCCTCAGAAGCAGGACTTTCATCTATATAATAGCAAAAATTCGGTTCCTACCTCACAGAAAACACCGCGTATCTAGTGTAACGACCAACCATTTTTCATTGTTTGCTCGCTCCATGGATCTGAGTCCTCGTGAAGCTAATAGTTACTTACCCAGCCAAGATTTTCCCTATGCTTTACAGTGTACCAACAGCTCAAGTATGCGCAAACTGCGATTCAGCGAATATCCCATTGGTTATGGGGGGGGGCAGCCTTGCCCAAATTCCGCTTCGCAACTCACATTCAGACCAGAAATTGTCTTAGCCGAAAACAAATTCTATTCGTTCTATGTATATGTACGAGTAAGGCTTCACGTTTTATGTGAAAGGTGATGCAACCTGTGGTCTATTGGTTAGCACCAACGTTCATTCAGGAGGTATCGAGTTCAGTTCTCCGCTTGGAGATCATCAAGGCACTTTCTTCGTCGTTTTGATCAGTCCTTCCAAACAAATGCTACTACGTACATTTAAAATGGTCATGTATGTTCCTTTCCATATCTCTCACACTCACAGTTCATAACAACCCTCTCAGTTACACTGTGGCACTTGAAGCTAACATCCCCCCTCCCCAACTGTAGTGAACTGTAGCTGAACTGCGCCCCTTCGCGGTGCCCTCTGCTAGCATCTACACAAAGGGACTGCCGCCTGAAGCGGTTCCTGAAGTACTCACCTGTCGAAACTGACTGAAACTTTGTACTTCTTGTCAGGTTCCAGACTGTACGCCGATGACGTGGGGCTGCTGGACCGCGGGGTAGATACCACACCACTCAGATGGAACCCTGCAAACAACAACAGCATTCATTAACACGAGTGCCGGAAGCAGCGCAGTGGGTGCAGGCAACATTGCGAAAGAAAAGTCCTTGGACTTCTCGCCGGCGTGCGGACATGGGAAGTTACTTGGAGGTCTGCGTCACTGACTGGCGATGATGCGCCTTCGTGATCACAGCAGCTGGAGTAAAACAACATTTATTTTAATTTGGGCTGGGCTGGAAGGCCCGGTTCGATTCCCGGTAGTGCAAGATTTGTGTCTCTTCCACAGAGTCCAGACCGGCTCTGAAGCCCACCCAGCCTCCTATCCAGTGGGTGCGGGGGGTTCTTTCCCAGGGAATAAAGCGGCAGGAGAGTGAAGCTGACCACTCACCTCCATCTAGTGCCGAGGTCAAGAATGGTGGAGATGTACCCCCACTGCCGTATATGACTTTATGGCATAGTATGGACAACTTTACCTTCTTAACACGCCTCTGAAAAGAGTAAGTGCCTATACTTATTAGGACATAGTAACACGTCACTGAAAGAGACGCGCCGATGTTCTCTACAACACGAGGCGGACAGCCTAAATGATAGCAGGTCACCGTCACATTACGCACTGCAGGATGGGTAGCACGCCATTGAAGAGCAACATGAACGTCCGAGCTCCATGGGAAACACGACTTAGGCGATTAAGCAAATCAAGTCCCTTACTGCAGGTAGCGGTCACTGTTCTGCCAGCCAAACAAGCTGCTCATCCCCCTCCAAATTTGTTTACCGTCTCCAGATCATCTCGTTCAGGGGAGACACAGAACCGGTATAACTTACCATTTATATGTGCAGCTGAAATAAAAAGCAAACCCGTTTCTAACTGGAGCTGTTTCCTGCGTCCGTCACTGTTGACCTCTCAAATGCTAAGAACGAGATATCTCGTTTGGACACCATTCCCTCTTGCTTTGAATATAGCCACGTTTAATATTTAACAAAAAACCTGCGCCGTCATCTTTAGAAATTGGAGCCTAATCGTCTGTATCTCTTCGGCAATCAAAACTCTGAATTACCATGCAGACATACTAAGAAATAAAAGCACTTATTTGCTGTATGGATATGACAAATATACGTACGTTCTTCGGCCAAGCAAGAGACTTCAAAACGTGTATATAAGCAATCTCATACTGTTCAATTTCAATGACGTTAGTAGGATAGGGCAGGCGGAGTTATTCGTCAGTCAGAAACATTCACCCGAGCTGTTTCGACGTAAAGGAGAGGAGAGAAGGAAAGGGGAGGACAATGACAACAGAACAGACAAATGTAAGGAAAACCAATGCGGGGAAGCAGGAAGGTAAGTCGCTCAGCTAGTCAAGAAATTCCAAATCCTTCAAATACTCCGAAGGTTCACCGCCGTACACATAACAGCCTGCCACTGGATCCTGTCGTGAGCCAGTTGATTCCAGTTCACACCCTAAGACCGTATATTCAATTCCACGTCGTTTCACTGAGAGGGTTGGCGTAGCGATAAGGCTCTATACTCGCATCTGGGAAGTGCTCAGTTCGAATCACGGCCGGGCGCCGGTCATCATGACTGAGGTTTGTCGTAGTGTTTCTCAGACACTCCATACGAATGCCGGGATAGTATCTCGATCATAGCTCCATCGCTTCCTTCCGAACGATTTCCAATTAATCTACCAATTAATCTGTTCGACGTTACCGACAGCGCCACAAAATATCATCCCGCCATTTACGACTACGTATCCAAGCTTCCCTCAAGTTTCTCCGGCTAAAATCTGTCTTCACAGGACAGAAGGCTTCAAGACTCGCTCGTCCAGATCCTAGCTTTGAGTTGACAGAAGGCAACTGAGTCATGATATTTCAAGGCCATCTAATGCAGCTTGTAGAACCGATCCACAGGGTTCTTACGGCGGTGACTGTCACTCCGTGTAGTCTGGTACACAGGTCCCGAGGTTTCAGAAGAACCTGCTACCTCAATTTCACATCACAAGCACGGAGGAGGCATCAGGTTCCTCCGAAACGCTGACACATTTACTTAACGACAAGGAGTCACATTCGAAACGACAGTAACCTTCATTCGCGACGGGGTTACTGCTGATGGGAGGAACTTACTAGGTACCAAATTAGTGTTCGCACAATGCTCACGTCCCAGACGGACCAAACAAACACAGTGCTCCAATTGCCTTACAAAATATTGACTCCTAATTCCGTTCTTATGTGGTTCAACAGAAAAAATACTAACATAACACGTCAATCTGACATGAACAGTGGTGGGAGCGGGGTTCGAGCAGAGGTGATTAGGGACAGTTCCCATTTTATGTACGCATCATTTGTTTTTATAACATAAAAAATGCAGTAACTCTTGCTTGCAGAGAGCGCCACGTACAATGACGTAAATATGGTAACCGCTCGAGACTCGCTTCCCGCCAGCCTGATGTTCCAGTGTATTCAAATGGTGTGCATACTGCATATCCTGCGAGGGGCCACGTCAAACATTGATAAAGCTCATGGCAGTAATCTTCATGCAAATATGGTGCTGACTCATGAGGACTCATTATTAGCCGATGCAATGCAACTGCAGGGCATGGCCACATGACTCATCGCAACTCACAGTCGTTCCTCCAGGTCCTGGCTTCCAGCCAGAATTGAACAAATTTCCATTCTGAAGCGGGAAGGGGGGTATTTTAGCTATTCATTTCGCCCCTGATGTGTGGCCAATTTCGAACTCTCGTTCGCGGATCCAGGTTACTGCAGCGGCAACGGCGGCAACACTCTGCACTCGTATTCGGACCCTCGGCTCACACGACCAAGGCTGAACGATGTATATGGTTTTCCTCAGACTTCCGACGCACAGAGTGAGTCGTTGTTGCGTGCGTTCGGAGCCTGGCCCCGTCTCGTACCAGGTTCGGTGGTAACGCAGCGGTAACGCTACAAGACTTGCATTCAGAAGGGTTCGGTTGGAATCTCGCCCGCAACACCGGGTACTCTGAGGCTTTTCGTGGTTTTCCTCATCCCCTCCAAGCAAATGTTGGAATATCTCCTTCAGGCCACGTCCGCTTCCTTCCAGTTCATCTGTCACCGTACCACCCGACGCTATACAGTCCGCGACGCTGAGAGCGTCATATAGCGTAAAAGTAAAATAAATCACAGCGGTGACTGCAGCGTCTTCTGGACTGTGACATCGTGTAGTCTTGAAGGCAGATATCGACGTTTCAGAAGAACACGCTGACTCCATCTTCAGGGTGAGGGTCTGGCTCGGTTATAAACGCACGTTGCGAGGAACGTGGTCACTGAGATCCCTGAAAGGAAATAGGCTCCAATCACGAGAATCGTCACGTTATCTCACGCGATATCCTGTCAGGTTATGTACGTCTCATTTATTTCCTGTGTTTTCACCACTTCCACACCAAGCACCAGGCAAGGATTCATGAGCCCGCGTCCAGCCCGCCAAAATCAAACAAACCCTTTTAAGGCTCGTCGGTAGGTTAAATTCCTGCTGGCCTTCGCCAGCACAGTCACTCCTGGCTTCAGTCTCCTCGAGATCCATGAACAAGAGTTTTATTCTCTCCTAGACATACTATGTGTTTCGAACTGGGTCATCTTCTTCGACGAAGGAAGGGTCGGTCTTTCTATGTGGGCGCTGCGTTTGTTACACCGTAGTTTCAGCACGAGTATATCCGCGCTGTCCAGGTCACTCTGGACTTTGTGCAACCTCTGTCACTGCACTACACTAAGTTTCAGCACGAGTATATCCGCGCTGTCCAGGTCACTCTGGACTTTGTGCAACCTCTGTCACTGCACTACACTAAGTTTCAGCACGAGTATATCCGCGCTGTCCAGGTCACTGTGGACTTTGTACAACCTCTTTCACTGCACTTACTAACATTCTTACAAGGTATGGAGAGGTTTCCTGTCAATGCAAGCTTTGGCAGCAGGTTATGCCTGCTTAACTTATGTCACTACTCTGAAACTGCAACCAGTTAGCTGGACGGTCGTAGGCCTGACCGCCGCCAAGTTTAAGCCTCTTCTCCTTCCTCGGTGCCATGTACATTTGGATTTACATGCTGTGGGATTACTTCTGCTTGTGTCCTTCATAATTTCGTTATACAGCCATTCACGTAAGGAATTTTGAAAGCCACGTTCAGTTCAAAATAATATATAAGAATCCAGTTCGTACCGCACAGGAAACACGTCATGTCTCTACTTACGTACTTACTTACTTACTTATGGAGCTGAGCCCTTCCGGAGGAGCCGCCAATTCTGCAGCTACTCAAGAATTTCCCAGTATTTTATGGAACTCGATGGTTCATTACCGTGTTCACAAGAGCCCTCCACTGGTCCCTATCCTGAGCCAGATCTATCCAATCCATACCATCCCATTCTCTCTAAGATCCATTCTAATGTTGTCCACCCACCTACGCCTTGGTCTTCTCTGTCGCCTCTTTTCTTCTGGCTTTCCCACCAATATCCTATACACATGTCTCTACTATGAACATAAACCGGTTAATGCTGTTTATGGAAACAGTCGCTGTTTATTGTGAGAACCATATGAAACATACAAATACACCCTGTGGGCAGAATCTAGAGTTTTAGTATGTTAAACCTGGAGGTACCTATAGTAACCACCACTGTTTAAGGGGTTAAATATCCATGGAAATACCCGATGGTTACATCAAACATTGGAAGAAATTCGTTTAAAATTTCTGTTGTCATTCTACCAATACCGAACACGAGTCCAGGTGTCCACCCCGACAAATATACAAATGAAACATTTAAGATTCCGTGAGATCTGCCTTATAATCCGTATGCATTGCAGTGCCGACCCAAGCAAAGAAACATGGGGCTGGTTTAACGAACTCTTCCGGATCTGCCCACAACGCCAGGGCCAGGGCCAAGATTCGGTTTGGTAGGTCCACTCGGACTGAACACAACAGCCACAGATAACAGCTATCGTTCCATGGGGCTTTTTAATTTACAACTCGCACTATCACAAAGCACCATACACTTGTGAATTATTCGTAAA